AGGGCGAAGGCTGGGGAGCAGGAACGGAGGGGAAGGGAGAGGGGGTTGGCTCGGGAGACCCCCCTGTTCCCCTTCGCCGGGCTGCGGGGGACGGGGGTGAGCCCCTGGGGCCGGGGCGTGGGAGCGGTCCAGCTCCTGGCTCCGTTTCTGCGTCTCCTCGGTGGTACCTCCAGGATCTTCCAGACGATAAAACCGCTGGCCGTGACAAGGGGCAACTTTCTCTTACGGGATTTCACTTCATTTACCCTGTCAGCTGAAGGTGTTATCTTTGGGTGCAGTTTTTTTTGTATACCCTCGAGCTGATGTTTAATTTGCCTTTCTAAACGTACTATAGTATTTCTACCATTATGTTTCACTGAGGGAGCAAGGATTGTCTTGCAGTGCCTCACATTTCATGCCACATTGCCTCTTCTTTGCGTGCATATTTGTGCCATGATACTATACTTGTGAATGGAAAGATATGATTATTTGTTCTTTCACTATGATGTTATACATTGTAAATTATGCAACAGTCAATTTGAAAAAGTTTGTAATGGCAAGTTTTCACATGTCTGTGCACTGTTGGTTTGTATTTCTTTTTTTCCTGTTTTTTTGTAAACATGTCAGAAAATGGTAAATGGAAATTGTGACAGATTTAAAGTACCTGACATGGTTTCAGAAAGCCCTCCTTTCTATTGCAGGTTAAATCAGCCCTTGTTCTTGACAGTCCTCAGTCGTGCTTTGTCGAAATTGACGTGTGCATTTAGGTACTTGCCTCCAGATCTGTCAAGTATGGCCCTGCTGAGGGGCAGTGGCCCCTGAGGAGAAACGCTCCTCAAGCAGAATCTCTGCTGTGACAAACTACTGAGAGTGGTACCGCAGAAACTATGCAAGCAGGTTTCACGCTCCTGAAGTAAACATGATGAAAACAGAGTCTTCAGGAGAAAGATCCACCCTCCGAAGTGCCTCTCCTCACAGAAATGCTTACAGAACTGAGTTTCAGGCGCTGAAAAGCACCTTTGACAAACCGAAATCAGATGGAGACCAAAAAGCGAAAGAGGAAGGAGAGGCCTCACAGACCAGGGGAAGGAAATATGGCTCCAATGTCAATAGGATCAAGAACTTATTTATGCAGATGGGCATGGAGCCCACTGAAAGTGCTGGAGTTGCCCCTAAAACCAGGGGGAAGGGAGGCCCTCCATCACCTCAAAGACGAATTAGACCCAAAGAGTTTGTAGAAAAAGCAGATGGTTCAATCGTAAAGTTGGAATCGTCCGTCTCTGAAAGGATAAGTAGATTCGACACTCTCCATGATGGTCCTTCCTATTCCAAGTTCACTGAAACTCGGAAGATGTTTGAGCGAAATGCTCATGAACATTCAAATCGCTATTCCCCAAAGAAAGAGAAAAGCATTTCTAATGAACTCCCGGATGAGTGGTGCAGCTCGAAGTCTCACAGAGGCAGCACTGATTCACTGGACAGTCTTAGCCCAAGGACAGAGACTGTCTCTCCAACTGTGAGTCAGCTCAGTGCAGTATTTGAAAACACTGACTCACACAATGTAATCGTAGAAAAGTCAGAAAACAGCGAAGAGTACTCTGTAACTGGTCACTATCCACTAAACCTTTCATCTGCTGTCACAAATATCTCTTCCCCAGTTGCAAACCTTGAGGGTTTCAGTCCTTTGAAAGAGGCCAGCACGTGGTCTCCCCCAGCCAAACAGAGTACAGGCGTGATGTCTGTTGAGAACTCTCAGCAGACTAACACGCCTTCAACACCGAGGCAGAAAGTGTCCACAGGCACTTCAGCAAGTACAAAAGCAACTGAAGAAATAAAAAAGAGCACAGAGGCAAGTGCTGATTTTGTTGAGAGCTCTGCAACAGGTCAACAGGATTTGGTTGGTGTGCTTGACAGTGAAAGGTCTGTGGACAGCTGTCTGAGGAGTAAGTCAAAAACAGAGACAGGAGTTTTGGTGCAACAGAAGGAACGGTCAGAACATACAGAAGCTATCTTTGATCGGCCTGAAGCTGCAGAGTTAACAAAAAATGTAGCTTCAGGTGGTGATCTTGCCACAGACGCAATTTCAGATGCTACTGAGTCCCATTATGATGAAGCAAGTGAAAAAGATGGGCATGAAGATGTGAATAATTTTGAGAGTTCCCATGTGTATATGCACTCTGACTACAATGTCTATCGGGTACGATCCAGATATAATTCTGACTGGGGAGAGACAGGTACAGAACAGGATGATCTGGATGATAGTGATGAAAATAACTGTTATGAACCTGATATGGAATATTCTGAAATTAATGGATTGCCAGATGAAGATGAAATCCCAGCCAATCGAAAAATAAAGTTTAGCCGGGCTCCTATTAAGGTAAGGTTTCTTAAGTTCCTTTTTTTGCAGTTTGCTTTGTTTTCAAATGCTGCATTACTTGAAGGAGATTTTGACATTTAATCTCACCTCTAAAAACATTTCAGAAGATTTTTTGATACATGTTTTTATTGCAGTCAGCCAGTGAACATAATTTTAAATGAAGTAAGGCAGCTGAGCTCTGATGAGCTCATGTCATTTCCTAGATTTCTTGGTGCCTGACTAAACCAGCAGAATTTGAGAATGACAGCTGGACTTGTGAAGTTCAAGAATTTTAACATGTATGTTTTGACTTCTGAGACTGGGCTATAACCATATTGTGAGATGTCAATGTGGGTATTTTGTGTCTTCTGTGCTGCTTGTTTCATTTCCTTTGAAATCACAGCTTCTTTGGATTGAAAGGCTTTTCCTCAGCTCTCAGCATATTCTGAAAGTACCTGTGTTTAAAGAGTGTGTCCTGAACTATAGTGTGATTCTGTAGTAGAGGACTGTTAATACTCCACATCTCAATTAGTATAATCTTTTCTAGTAGCATTGTCACTTATTTAAAACTTTGAAAGCATTTATATATATAGAGAGAGAGAGAGAGAGAGAATATATCTTAGTGCTACTGAAGGGTGAAGTCAGTTGACTAAAACACCTAGTGAAGGGTGTGCTTTTTGCAG